GTAACGCCCTCAATATAATAACAATAAAGCCATCAAATAAGACATGCATTGATATGTAAAAGTTCCACGTTCTTCCATTACATCAGAATTCTATTACATAAGTATTACATGTTAACAACAAGAGCAAAATGCCCTACGGGCATACAGCTTTCCAAGTCAACACTTGGTTACAACAAAAGAGTACTAACTCACACACGTTAAGCCCTTGGCTTGAGTTTACATGTAATACATTAAAAGTAAATCAACAAAAGTGTGCCCGCCTCTAGCCTCCCAAGCTATGTCCTTGGAGGTGGCATGCTACCTAATTTGTTTAAGAATTAGCCGGAGGTAACTTCAGTTACTGGCCATCACGATGCTTAACCCTTGGGTACGGGGAGCGAGTCGTAGCAGACACAACTATGGGATGCATGCTCGCTTAGGAATCTGAGAATAGGGTGGAGAAAGTCATCTACTACTTGAGCAAGAAAATGCTAGATTACAAAATCCGCTACACTCCGTTGGAGAAAGCTTACCTAGCCTTGGTATAGGCTACCAGGAAGTTAAAGCATTACTTGTTAGCTTATTCTATAATCCTGGTTTCGAGATTAGATCACATCAAATATCTCTTTGAGAAACCAGCACTTACGGGTAGGCTAGCTCATTGGTTGCTTCTCCTCTCCGAATTTGATCTCAAATATGTCACCCGCAAGTCGGTCAATGGAAGAGCTGTAACGGAGTTCCTAGCAGATCACTCGATAGAAGGGGATAGGGCGATGGAATACCTGTTCCTAGATGAAGCCATTCCACAAGTTGAGGAGGAGACTTGGACAATGTACTTTGACGGAGCATCCAATCAGTACGGTTATGGAATAGGTGTGTTGCTGATAACACCCGATGACTCCCATATACCTTTAGCCATCAAACTCCGGTTCAATGTGTCCAACAACGAAGCAGAATATGAGACGTGTATCACAAGCTTAGAAGCCGCCCTGGAACTAGGGGCAAAAAGGTTGGATGTCATCGGAGACTCGAACTTAGTTATTTCTCAAGCAAATGGGGACTAGAAGGTCAAAGAAAAAAAAATGAAGGTTTATCACCAGACCCTAGACATTCTGATTCCTAGATTTGAAAAGCTGACTTTTACGCATCTACTGAGAGAGAACAATAGGTTCATCGATGCTTTATCAACTCTATCTTCTATGATAAGCATACCACTTAGAGTCCGAATGCGTCCGATTATCATTGAGCAGAAATACACGCCGGCCTATGAAACTATCACCGGCTATAAATGAAGTGCAAGACAAAAACCTTTGGTACTACGATATTTGGAACTTCTTAGAAAATGAGATTTATCCACCAGGAGCAAATGCTAAGGACAAAAGAGGAATACGACGAATAGCCATCCAATTTATCATCTGCGGAGGTAAACTATATAAAAGAGGCCATCTGGGAATGCACAAGTTGTGTGTCGCAAAAAGAGGAATCAAGGCACCTGATAGAGGCCATCCATAGAGGAGAGTGCGAAGCGCACATGAACGGAGTAATGCTAGCCTAGAAGATTCTCAGGCAAGGTTACTACTAGTCCACCATGGACGAGGATTGTATTGGTTTTGTTCGGCGATGCCACAAATGCCAAATTCATGCCAATCGCATGAATATCCCGCTGTCAAAACTGTACAACATGACTTCGCCATGGCCTTTCTCAATTTGGGGAATCGATGTTATCAATGTCGTCACGCCAAAAGGGTCGAATGGGCATGAATACATCTTGGTGGCAATTGATTACTTTACAAAGTGGATGGAAGCTCAGTCTTATGCAGTGTTGAAAGCATCGCATGGGGCCAAGTTCATCAGAAACAATATCATTTGCCAATATAGGGTCTTAAACGAGATCATATTAGATAATGGTTCACACTTCAAAAAGGAGGTGATAGACTTGTTAGATAAATACAATGTGGCCTTTCATAAGTCATCTACATACAGGCTGCAAACCAATAGAATTGTTGAGGCCGCCAACAAGAACATCAAGAATATTTTGCAGAAAATGGTTGAAACTTAGAGACTGGCTAGATAAATTGCCATTCGCACTCTGGGGTTATAGGACTTTAATCTGGACATCTACTGGGGTAACTCCTTACTCTCTTGTCTACAAGATAGACACTGTTTTGCCAATTAGAATAGAAGTCCCGTTGTCGTGAATTATGGCTGAGTGTCAGATAGCAAAGGCGGACTGGCAACAAAGCAGATTTGAAGAGTTGATGATGTATGATGAGAGAAGGCTGAAAGCATTGTATCATGTTCAGGGCTACCAGCACAGAATTGCTAGGGCTTTTAACAAGAAAGTTAAGTCCTGGAATCTCAAGGAGGGAGATATGGTGCTGAAAAACAATCGAGCTCCCATTCATGACCCTAAGGGCAAGTTTAGACCCAATTGGACTGGTCCTTACATCATCAAAACTATTCGGTCGAGTGGAGCTATTATTCTTATAGACTTAGATGGCCTGAAATTTTCATAACCAACCAACATGGACAAGTTGAAGAAATACTATCCTTGAGAAGCTTGCTAGGCCGAAAACCAGAAAGGGCGACCTAGAAAAAAGTTAAAGCATGAAAAATTAGAAATAAAGAAAAACTGAGCTCGCAAGGTTAAAAAATCCTAAAGGGCGACTTTGGCAAAAGTTAGAGCACAAAAGGAGAGAGTAAATGCTCGAATGAACCTGAACCAAACTACGTAAGGCCTTATTCTCATCTTCGGGATACGTAGGCAACTTAATCCTAAAGTTCGACCGTAATCACTTCCAACTCAACTATCATGTCCATGTGTCTAATCAGGTCATCTTTGTTTGTCCTTTACCTGAGAGTTCGGTTGTGATCTTTACTCTGAGAGAAGAGTTAGTTACAATGTAGAGAAGTGGTGTTCAATTAGGGCAATTATGATTTTTTTGATTCGGGGTTATACATCTTGAGGATCGAGTCCGTGCATGCCAGGTGGTGATCCTTTTCAAAAATAGTTTTGAAACATTTTAATAAAAGTTGATTTTGTTCAAATTTTACCTTTTAAAACTTAGACTATTTTTGGGCCAAAAAAAAGAAAAATTTAGTGCTCACAACTTTAATTTCATTGATTTCAACTTAAAGTTCTCCAACTCTCTGATACAAATCAAAGTTGCTTTTATTACATCGAAAAAACATGAAAAAAAAGGTCAAAGCAATAAATTAAGGGCATAGTGTCAAGTGCTCCCGCGTCCTCTGCTCGTGCTTGCAGAAGCTTCTGACGCCAAAGTGGGCCCGACCTGTGCCTCATCCTCGAGCCAAGCCAGGTACTAGCCAGAAAGGGCATAACTGTAACTAGGGGCAGGGGCCAAAAACTCTCTTGCCCTCCAAGCAGTGAGGTACCTAGCCAAGTGTGAACCACGGATAGGGAATGAAACCAGGTCTGAACCTCGAGCCCGAACTGACATCTGAATCGGAAAGGGAAATAGAACATGCAATGCATGGAGCCGATCAACTGTATGCCAGGCTGCCGTGCCAAGCCAAGCTGTAACTCATCTCGGTCAAATTAAGCCAAGGGCAACACCAAGCTATGTCAGCAATAGACTTGTTGCACATCCAGTGGCACCACCATCCCTCATTCGGGAAATCCACTAGTCGGTGGCGGAAGAAATAACCTCAAGTTGAGTACTCAAGGCAAGTCCACTACCTTCAGCTTATCCATGAGCCACACATGAGAGGGGATGAAAGAAAAGAGAGATTAAAGAATAGAGAGATGTATGTTGAGAGAAAAATGAGAAAAGGGCTTTGAGAGAAAAATAGAGCATGAGTGCCGAGCGATATGAGAAACACATATGAGAAAGGATGGGAAATAATACCTGAAGAAGTAGTGGACTCTCGGCGAATCTAGTAGTCTCTCGCCGATGAAAGGCGTCTAAGCCCATCAAGGTCTCAACCAGTGCCAAACCAATGCAATTCTTGCCTTCTTTCAGACCTTGGGCCACTTCGATCAACCAAATGTTGGACCCGCCAAAGCTAGGGGCAAGAAGGAAATGAACAAGCATACACAAGTAAAGGGCATGTTGCCGAAAATCTCGCCAGAGAAGGTCGCCTTTGTCACCGACGTCGGAAAATCGATGAATCAAGCTAGGAATGTCTAGCTCTCCGTTGTGGGCCAGAGATCGAGCCTCGTGTAGAGTAAACTCACACATCCATCCCAGAGCTTGGGCGTGGCCAAAACGGGGCAGAGACATGATTTCCTCCTTGTGCCGGGATTCCATTAGTGCCTGAAATTCTTCAATTGTCGAGCATATTTCTTGTCCCCCGAAGCTAAAGACGTATGTAATTGGGTCTTAGCATCGAGCCGCGGCATGGAGGAATGGAAAACAAAGTGGAGTTCGGCTCAACAGAAAAAGTGCATTTATGCCGAAACCCCGAAAATTTACATTTTTCGTCCCGTCTAAAGTCACTATCCAATCCGAGAGCTTTTTGGCAAAAAATGGCTCCATTTGTGGAAAAAATTGCAACTGAAATGAGGTTCTAAAGAAAAATCACGAAGCTAAACCTTTTGTAGAAGATAAGGCTGTGAATGGAAGCCAGTTGTCAGCAATCTGGTGATTCTCACATTTGTGGCCGACAGGTGGCTGGCAGACCACCTCTTGTGATCGGCAGGCCACCCTCTATGGCCAGTAAGCCCTATCTCTAGCTGGCAGCCTTCTTTTCAGGCCTGCCGATCACCTGTGTGCTGAGCAGTGCTGGAAGCTTGTGTTTTGTCTTGATTTTTGAGTATTTGAAGGTGTTGTTTTGAGTCTTTTTGGTTTTAGCAAGTTTGTTTATTTGTATTTAAGTTATTTTTATTTTGTTTATCGAGTTGTATTTTGTATTTTGTATTTTGTATTTTGATTGTTCGTCGGTTCATTACCCGATTAAGAACTTTGTTTCAATCAAGTGCACTCTTGGCCATTCGATTCCATGTTCATTTTCATGCAAATATGGTGCTCATGATGCAAAAATAACAACACTTTTTTCAAAAACTACAAGGTTTTATTCCGATCATGATTTTTACAAAAAAAGAGTACAAGTTTCAAAGCAAAATAAACCTATTTGAAACTATACATTTGCTAATGCTACCAAACAAAAAGAAACTAAGCAAAGTACAAAAAAAATCAACGCCAATCGACTCAGGCTCGAGAGGCCCTCTTCGTCCTCTTCCTCGGAGGAGAGGACTTGGGGGCACTATCTTCATCGGCACCGTTGTCCAAATCAATCTTTGAACCAAAACCCGAGCCGGTATCCTCTCCGCTCTCTGCCTCAAAGTCCGCAGCATCAACACCTCTGCTATCGGATCCCTAACTAGCATCACCATCTCCACTCTCGGATGACTCCGAATGCCGACTCGCTACCTTCTCAGAATCACTAGTCTCAGCATCGTCATCACTCAAGATGGGCTTTGAAGGGCTGCTCTGGCCTCGGGTGCCCCTGTCCCTGCCTCTCCTCCCTGCTACTAGAGGAGGTACTGCCGGTGCCGGTGCTGCTGCTGCTGCTGTTGTAACTGCTGCTGCTGCTGTTGCAGCTGCAGCCACCGGAGCCAGCGGTACAGATGGGATCTGAAAAAGACAGTTGTCAACGTATCAGTTACAGTGTGTATATCAGATACAAGCATAGTATGCAGAATAAGTGGTATGTAGAAATCAAATACAGTATGAGTACAGTGTGTGAGTACAGTGTGCCAATGCAGTATATCGGTGCAGTTTGGGAAAGACTGCAGTTCAAATGCCAGTGTATCAGTGGAAAGATGATAGCATGAAGTGCAAACTGAAGGAAATTACCTGGATATCGTGGAGACCAAACAGCGTCTCCCTCCTCTGCACCATCCCCATCAAGGAAGCTATCAGCTCAAGACAGCTCCCCGTGTACTCAGTGTTTTCCTATATATATATATATATATAATGAGATATCAATCAAATATACTTGTCAATTCAAGTATGAATACAAGAATAAGATTTATATACTACTTGCATTTTCATAGAGAATCATTTGCCTCATCTCCATCAAACTAGCTATTTTTATTTTTTTTTAAATAGTGACTAAATTATCAAGTTTCAAAAAAGTGTTTAGTCAAAATAGGAAAAAGTAATTTTTTAGCACATAGGCTGACAAAAGTTTTTTTTTGGTTGTTTATATAAGCCTTATTTACTACTAGACTATAATTGAACAGAAAGCAACAAATTAATTTTCATTGATTATTCAATTCTTGACTGTGGGCTCTGGGAATGTCCTAAGTTGGGATTTTATTTTATTATTATTATTTTTTAACACTAGCATAATTTCTTTTAGATTCTTTTCTTATTTCTCATTTTTCTTGCCATGAAATAATGCTAATTAATTGAAATATTGCTATTCATAGTATCATTTTTTTGACAGACATGGATTTTTCAATGTTAGGAAAAGTACATATTTTACAACAAAATGAAAGAAGGAAATAAAGTTACTGAGCAGACTAAATAGAAGCAATACATTTTATCAATACTGAATTGAATGGTAAAGATATAGTTAGATAATATTGACAATTTAATCTTTAGGAAAAAAGAGATTCTAAATTCAAACACCAAAAACATTCCCATATAAGCAGGTAAACAACACTAAATGATATTCGATGTTACATATGCAATTTAATTTCATGGATTCCAAAGTTTATAAAAATGACTAACTCCCAACACTTGAAAAAGGAGGAGAGGGAAAAAAAAAGAAGGCAGCAAACAGACCATTAACAATTAATTTTCTTTTCTCAATGCCATTGATTATTCAATTCTTGACTGTGGGCTCTGAGAATGTCCTAAGTTGGGATTTTATTTTATTATTATTATTTTTTAACACTAGCATAAACTTTTAGATTCTTTGCTTATTTCTCATGTTTCTTGCCATGAAATAATGCTAATTAATTGAAATATTGCTATTCATAGTATCATTTTTTTGACAGACATGGATTTTTCAATGATAGGAAAAGTACATATTTTACAACAAAATGAAAGAAGGAAATAAAGTTATTGAGCAGACTAAATTGAAGCAATACATTTTATCAATACTGAATTGAATGGTAAAGATATAGTTAGATAATATTGACAATTTAATCTTTAGGAAAAAAGAGATTCTAAATTCAAACACCAAAAACATTCCCATATAAGCAGGTAAACAACACTAAATGATATTCGATGTTACATATGCAATTTAATTTCATGGATTCCAAAGTTTATAAAAATGACTAACTCCCAACACTTGAAAAAGGAGGAGGGCAATAAAATAAAATAAAATAAACAAGGCAGCAAACAGACCATTAACATTAAGTGAAAAATCACCACTGAAGTCGATTGTATTGGATAGTTCACATAAACAACATATTAGGCAAAGATGCATACAGAAAAATGTTTGAACAGATGGATTTTTATAGGGCAGAGGGGAGCAAATTTGAAAGCAATTAGAAATCAACATAAACAGAATTCAGATTCTAGATGGGAAAGGTCAGGTTTAAAATTTTACTTAGTCCGAGGGTTAATTTAGTTGACTGCATCATCAACCACACATGGCTTGTTTTTTCATATATATATATACATATTTTGTTTTTTATTTTATTTTAAATTTTAATAGGCTTGATAACTAACAATATATTGGCTAAAGCTTTGAACTTAAAATCTTGAAGACTTCCTAGGCAGAGGGGTAAAGAATTTAAATCTAAACCTCAAAGCCCTCAATTCCATTTTGTGTTTTTGGTGAACAATCAGGTTGTACCCACAGACAAATAAACTTACTTTGAAAACACCACAAATTCAATGTTTGTCATGTGTAATTGGTTCATCAGTAAATGTAGATATTATTAGTGAAACCATTCATGGTAAATGACAAATCTATCCAACCCATGTGACACAAACATTGCTGCAATCTTTGTGGTTTTTCACAAGTATCTAGCAAGTTAGCAACCTAACGACAAAGTCGGACTTCCAAAACATGAAAAATCACGATCATTTGCAATTGTAAAGGAACAAGTGAAGCAACTAAAACTGCAACAGAGCTGTCAATAAGAAAATATAGCCACTTCAATGGGATTGAGACAAAATAAAACACAAAAACAAAAGCATCAAGGTTTAAAAGAGAACATTGAACATCAAATTCTGAAGTGTCGATAAGCATTTTGCTTACGGTCAAGAATAATGAAAACATGATTGAACATACAACGAAGAATTCAATTACCAACTTTTTTCCTAAATGAGAACAGTCATTTGAAACCTAATTCAAGTAATCACTTGGAGTACAAACAGTATTAAGATAAAAATAAAAAATTATTTCAAACATTAAGACCAATCCGAACATGAAAAAGGGATAATTAAAAGGCCTAAGTTGTTGTTGTTGTTTTTCTTTTTCTTTTCCTTTTTTTTTTTTTAAGTAAGGATCAATCAAAGTTGCTAGAAATAACTTATATAATTGATGCATATTTTTAGAAGTTTATTAACTAAGTGTTATTAGTTTGCAATGGTTCAAGCATTTCAACAAAAACCTGGTGGCCAAAAGGATAGATAGAGAGATCCATATGCTTAAAGAAAAAGTTCCTTAAAAAGAATGACAGTAATGTTAAAAATGTTCTTCCAGTGAGTCTATGCAATAAAGGACTCTGTTAGAATAAATTTTGCAAGCACAAATGCAGCAAAAAAAAAGTTGTTCAAAAAAAAAACAAAAAAACAAAAAAAAGATACATCAAAAAAAGATTTGCTTGCTCATGCAAAAACCCCCCATTTCAGTGTTTTTAATTCATCCAGAAAAATATGTCTGAAAAACTCTGGGTATGTTTGGTTTGTGTTTGAGAGATGTGTTTTAGAGATAAAAAGTACGAAAACATGTTTGGTTTGGTTTTTTTTAAAAGATGTTTTGGAAAATTATTTTGAGATAGAGTTTTGAGGACTCTGTTAGAATAAATTTTGCAAGCACAAATACAGCAAAAAAAAAGTTGTTCAAAAAAAAAACAAAAAAACAAAAAAAAGATACATCAAAAAAAGATTTGCTTGCTCATGCAAAAACCCCCCATTTCAGTGTTTTTAATTCATCCAGAAAAATATGTCTGAAAAACTCTGTTTTTGATTTATGGGTTTGCCTATTTTTGCTTCTTTGATCTTTGTTAACATATCAAAATTGATAATAAGAGGGAGATTTAAAAAATGTATAGTTGATACTTGCTTTCACTGAAACAAACCCTAAAATGAAACTACCCTTTCTCCAATTATTGATAGACTAGTAGAAATACTATCAGAAAAGGTAGAAGGAATGGTAATAGAAAGATAATGGAAGGGGAAAACATGGAAAAAGAAACCCATGGAGGCAACAACAGCAAAGAGTGAAAAAGATGAAGTTGATAAGGGAATCAGAAGGTAGGCAAACGACTCTTACCTTTGACAATGGTGCTGCAGTGCAGCAATGGTGCTTCGAACGACCTCTGACGCTGGAGTTTCACTGCTGACTCTTCAACAGAACTTGATATAGAAGGAAAAACTAATCAATTAGGATAAATAGGTGAAACACGATGTCATTTAACAAATTAATTGGAGAGAATCCAATTTTTTTTAGAGGGAATTAAAAAAATGCAGAATATATTTGCGGCAGTGTTCAAACAACCGCCGTAAAAGAATGACCTTTCAGATTATAACCGCAGGTTCTTACACCCGCCATTAATAACAAATTTGTAACGGCAATTTATTAACGGCCTATAATAAAATACCTTTAACGACAGTCATCTTACTGTAATTGAAACCGCGGTTAAAGACGAACTTTGACGTAGGGGATATTTAAGTATGGTTGTAAATGGATTAAACTGTTCACAAACAAGATCGGTTCGATTCGTTAAAAGTTTGGCTCGGCTCAATTTATTTAGTAAACGAGTCAAGTTCAAACTTGCATAAACTCGGCTCGAAAATAATATATTTATTTATTATTTATTTATTTCTAACCAAACAAAATTTAAAAAAAAAAAAGAATTCAAAATTTGTATTTTGAAGGTTAAACCAAACAACGCCTTAGTTTTACAAGGGACAAAGTACAACTTTGACAAAACTTGATTTAGAGCATCTCCAATGATAAGCTATTTGAGCTGTCATTATCAAAATTTGACAAGAATTCTCAAAAATGTTGCTCCGATGGGTTGATATAACCCTTGCCAAATTTGGCAAATGGCATTTCATCTCTCAAATTTGACAACACATCATCCAAATAAACAGAATTTGACTCCAAAATTTTCATGGAAGAAATAAACACAGCGGAACAATAATATACCCAAGATGAAATAATAATATAAAAAAATAAATAAACACATGGAACAAAAAATATTTAATTTTTCAATTTTTGTTCATTTTTTATATTTGTCTAATCGGGTATAATGAATATATATATATATATATATAATTTTACAAACAGTTAAAAAAAATCACAAAAAAAAATACTAAAAAATTTATATCCAAATAATATCTACAAATTTAGAGAGAAAGTTAGTTGAGATTTGCCAAACTAACATGTGTACCATTGGGATAACATTGCTATAATATGACAAATTATTACTATTCATTATTAAATTATAGCGATAGCAATAATATTATTACAAATATCATTAGAAATGCTCTTGGTGGTGCAAAATTAGTGCTAACAATCACTGCGGTAAAAAATATATTTATAATAAAAGACCCTTTCACTGAGCAAAATGCCGCTTTCAGTTTTACGTGGGGTAAAGTGTAACCCTGTATTTTTTAAGTAGTTAGGGGTTGTTTGAGATGTTATAAATAAGTGTATTTTTTATTTTTTTAGACTAAAAAATTGAGAAAAAAAAAATGGATATTTGGGTTAACTTTTTGACTTTTTACGAAAAAATGTGTATTAAAAAATTATATAAATAAGTGTATAGGAGAAGTGATTGAGTAGGGAAAAATTAGGATTGAGAGTTGTGCAGCCGTAATTTTTGACTTTTGATGAATAGTGATAACTTTTCAACTTTTTGACTTTTTTTCAACTTATCAAACTTAACCTTATAAATTTATAATACATATATGACCTAATTTGAACTTTTTAAGGATTTGAAATGTTCAATGAAATTATTGAAGGTGTAAAAAATAAATAAATAGATAAATAAAGTAAAATTATTGAAGGAGCGAAATGTTTGAGGTAAGATGAATGCCCTAGATAGATATAATTAATTACATTTTAAACAAGAACTAAGCTTAAACAAATTTTTGACACTGCACATGATAGTTGTCACTTTCAAAGGAATTGACATTATATGCTGGTGAGCTGTAGATGATATTAGCAAGGATAATGTTTGAGAGCTCGAAAAATGTCCCTCCTAATCCCCCTAATGCCCAAAACGACGTCGTTTTGGGCATTATTATTATTTTTTTTCTTCTTCTTCTTCACGCAGCTCTGAGACAGAGGGAGAGGAAGAGAACGAGAACGAGGGAGAGGGAGAGAAGAGCTCGTCGCAGGGAAGAGCTCGTCGCCCACCATCGCAACTCCTCGCCCGCCATCGCAGCCACTGCCTCTGCCTCTGCCTCCTTCTCCGCCCCCCGCCTCGGCCTCCACACCCCAATTTATTTGGCCCCCTCAAGTCCTTCGGCTTCCTCCTCCTCCTTCCTTCTCTTCTTCTTCTTCCCCCTCCTCCTCCTCCTTCTCCTTCTCCTTCTCCTTCTCCTTCCTTCTCCTTCTTCTATTTTCTGCAAATTCGGAGGATTCGGAGGGTAGCTCTTTCGAGCTACCAAGCATGACCCTATTAGCAATGACAGTGATGGTACTGTTAATAATTCATTGATTTGGACATACCAAAAAATTAAGGGGTAATTTCACATATCAGTGAATATTTGAAAAAAATATTTTCAAATTAATGAAAAAAATTTGTAAATGTTAAAAAGTAAAATTATAAATTTTTTCATCAATTTGTAAATAATTTTGAAAGTCTCACTGATATTTAAATTCTCTAGAAATTAATTTTGAATAAATAAAAGAAACAAAACTGTCCTAATGGTGGTCAAAACTTTTAAAATTTTTTGTTTGGAAAATCCCATGAATGTAGTAGGAGGAGGATTAGCATGATCATAAATTCAATAAATCAACTGTATTCATCAAATCATGCAGTGGTGATAAAGATTTCAGAACAAGCCTCATCAACACCACAGGATTCTATTTGATTAAAATGAAAAATAGGATTACAAGTGCAAGTGATAGAAAGTGAACTTAAAAAAGTTATTTTCAATTATATATTCGATTAAGAAGTTTTTATTTATTTATTTATTTGTGAAAAAGTCTTAATAATTGGCTACTATCAAGAGAGGGAGGGAAAAAATCATGTAATGTTTTGTACAAAAATTAAAAGCCAATCATGAATTGTTTATGAAATTTGACTTTCTTGCATTTGTCACTGTTCTCGTGCTAAATAAACAATCGGAACAAGGCCTATCGTTTAACTACATGCATGTGTGTGCACGGTGTAGTTTAGACGATTTGAGAGTAAAATTACAAATTGAATGGTAGGTTAGTGGATTAGCGAATTGACAAATTGTGATTTTTGACGGATTGGCGGATTGAAGAATGTTTTAGCTATTTATCATACATTTACATAATATATAACATTAACTTGTATAATATTTTTTAGATATATAATACAAAATAATTTTACATAATATGTTCATATATATCACTACTAATTTGTAATAAATTTCATATCTTAAATCTCTCTCACACTCATTTTTATATTGATATTTCATTGGAAATTAAAAATATATATGTATTAACTAGAGCGGAGCGGAGCGGAGCGGTTCGGTTCGGTTGGCTATAAATATATATGTATTAACTATAGCTATAAATTTTAAAGTTTAAACTACGATTAACAGTTAGAGCAGTACGAATTAATGCAGATCGGTACGATTTTAACAGATTGAGCGGTGTTTTGCACCACCCTAACTGCATGTTCTCTAGCCCAGCTCACAAAGACTTCTACCTTGCCGAAACTAATATCTCAAGCGGGCTGGGCCAACTTAAATAAGACTTGGGTTAGACTTGCGTTGGGCTTGGATGTGGGCCTAGGTACCTGAATAGCCCAACCCATCAACAGACTTTTACCAGCCCAAGCGCGTATCCTAGTAGAGTTAGGTCAACCCAAATAAGCCTTGGGTAGGGCCTCGACCTCCGCGTCCAATCTTAGTCTGACCTGCTGGCCCGATCTGCCAAGCTGATAAAAAATGAAAAAATAGGGAAAAACATAAATACTTTTTTATTTAATTAAAAACTTTCAAAAATAAGTCTGAATCTTGATTCACGTTACTTGGCCACCCAACTAGGCCAATTGGAAAAGACTCAGGCCCGAAGGTTTTTGGCTCTGGGCCAAACCAACTCGACTTAACAAAAAACTCACCAGACTTAGCCCACTAACAGACTTGGGCACCAATTACGCGAGTCTGGTTGATGCAGGCTGGCTCAATGGTAAACTTTGGGAAAAGTTTTACACCAAAAACACTAGTTATTATCTACTTCTCTTCTAAAGGCTTTCAATTGATGATTTATTTTTTTTTAATTTTTTCAAAAGAGGAAAATAATGAGAAGCACTCACTCGTATATGTTGATAGGGTAAGTCCTACACCCATTATTATTTATTATTATTATTATTATTATTATTATTATTATTACAGGTTAACATAATGTTTATTATGTGGTAGGAGGTAAATAATAGTAAAATTCACCCAATGACAAATATATTATCCTAATAGTTGGAGTTAATTTAAGTCATTTGACATAATAAATGCATTTTAAATGGGCAAGGAGATTCAATAAAATAAATTATATATATATATATAAAAGAATGGCTCTCTGAATAAATGAAATTATATATTTTTGTAGTGTTATATATTTTTTATCGAAATATTTTTAAATCATATTAGTTTGGTTTAAAAGGATTTAAGTTTGTAGTGACCCGGGTAAGATAAACCTGACTTATATTAGTTATTGCATTAGAGATAATTATTTTGGCTATCAGTGGAGGATAGCATTGCCATTGTACGAGTACAAAATAATCTTCACTTGTATAATCCTATTGATCAAGCTTGCGCTTCTCCAAACGTTATCGTAACACTTGAAATCACAAATGTGAGCTGGTCGACGGGTGTGTGTCGGAAACCCCTCCGATGCCTAAGTCAACAAGTAGACTAAGGTAGCGATAACTCTGTAAATTTGGGAGTAAGAATTGCAATACTTGAGATTAGGGTTTGGTTAAAGTTTTTGTAAGTTTCGCATGGTACAATCATAGTAAGACTCAACTCTCCTTTGTAAAGTCCTCATAAGAATCACACTCTTAAAGTGTCACGACCCCATTCCGCCTCTAGTAGAATGGTGTCGTGATGGCCAGTAATCCGAGATTACCAAAAGTCAGCTTACAAAGATTCACACACAATCAGCGTATACATATGGGGCTTACATGTGCGGAAGCAATAAATTTAAATCTAAGTAGTCCATAAGAGCTATGCATAGATCAAATGAAATGGCATACATCTTAGCATGGTTTTACAACTTGGATACAAATAAAATAAAGTACATATTACATATTGATCAAAAGGCTTCTCAAGCCGACATATACAAAAGAAGTGAATTAAAACTAAGAAACATAATCTTCAAGATG